CTGTCTTTATTGCACAAATAACCTCAAAATAATAAGTAACCACTAACAAACCTCATATGCATGCTACTGTACCTGTCGATGTTGAAATTGTTAGCCGCTGATACAAAAAGCGCAAAAAAATTGTTGAGACTGCATATCCGAGTATGCCACTGGGTCTTCTTTTCCCACACGCCTCTTTTCTGCGGCTACGAACAGAAGAATTTGAAATCACGTCTTTTTGTACAGTCGTTTATTTACTAAGCCAAAGGATTAAGCTTTGAAACTTTGAAGACTCTGACAAAGAAGATAGCGCAGGCTGAGGTGCAAAAAGGAAATCAAAACCGGGATGATTACACTCCGCAGCCATGGGCATGACCAAGAGCGACGTGAGTCAGTGTAAAAAGCTGCAGCTGTAGACAAGAAAGGGTGCTTTGATTACGCCTGAGTGTGGCGGCATGCGCACTTTAAGGTGAAAGAGGAAATCCGCAAACAGGAGAGGGTCTTCTCTTAAGAGTAAGTCTTTCACTTTGCCGAGTGGAAATTTCGCTTCTGATATAACGTTGTAACTTGACACTTGTGCGAAATGTGTCCCTGGGCCAGGGTCAATCATGTTGATGCGATCCGAGAACCCACTTTAAGGCCCCCCCTCCCCTTAAAGGTGTCTATCCGTAACCCGTTCCCCCCACACCTACCCGGATGTACGTCAAGAGACGCGATTTCTATTGTCTATTGTTCCTCGATTTTATTGTTTTGAAATAGATTCAAAACATGAATGTTAGAGATCAAAAACCCATGAAAATACAACTAATGACGTTTTTGTGATTATTTCAAACAAGTTTTTACCAAAAGGCGTCAAACTTAGCAAATGGTAGCTTCAGATAGTTAGTAAGCCAGAGCACTTTATCTGATATCCTTAAAGATTCGCATAGCTCTAAATTAGGCTGTTTTGTTGGTGACCTCTAGAGAAATTGCTCCTCTTGACCGTCTCCCCACCTCTACCCCACCCCCACTGCTTTTGAACCTGCGTAAACGATGTCAATCTCAAAAGAAGCCTGCCAATGGATCTCATTGTCAGTCAAAACTATAGGGGTTCAAAGAAATATAACTACTTATAACTTCGGGGATAATACAAGTGATGCTCCACCACTTAAAAACCTCAAAAATAATTCTGCGTAGATTGGGTAAGTAGTAAAATTGTACAAAAATTCGGCTATGCTTATCAGGTTCGGGAAAACGTAGATGGAAAGGATATCATCTGATAAAGCAGATCATCAATTATGATCTGAATGATATATGAAAGCTGTACTCAACGTAGACACCAAATAAAATCAGATAATAATTAAGAAAAATTCAGCATTAATGAACGGTTTACTTCAGTCAATATGATTGATTAATTTATTATAACTCATTATCTAGTGACAGGTGATAAATTCTTCTGTCACCTATGGATTTTTGGCATAACTCATTCATGTTTCAGCGGTATCGAAAGATATTGACTATGGTTCTGGAAATTAGAAAGTTTTAGATTATAATTACAGTCTTGTGTTCTATTCCCTTACGCGACACCATGTTTTGCAGGGAGAAAAACGATATTTTTGTAGCCTTAAATATATTTTCGACTAAAAAGATTACTTCCTACCTTTTATACAGATTTTCCTGCAAAAAAAAACTGTTTTGGAGCCATCCAGAACGATGTCAAAGACGTACATGAGCATGGTGGTTTGAAAATTCGTAAACAAGTTCAAGGGAAGAATGAGAGGCTGCAATAAACAGGCTGTGTAGTATGGTGCCCAGACTATTAATGGAAAAAGTTCCAGCCTTTGAAGCATAATAAGCTTGAAAGAATTTAGATGCGACCCTAAAAAACAAAAACTGGGATTTCTAAGCTTGAAATTTTGTAATTTACCGGAGAAGTTATGAAACAGCCTGAAATTTTTATGGTAGAAAGTAGGAAAATGGACTTGTATTCAGCACAGTTGCAGCCAACAAGCTTAGATAGCTCCCGAGAAATTGATGCGACCCAGATACGACCCCTTTTACTTCATTTTCTTTGGCATAAATTTATAAAAAAACTACAGATTACGAAATAAGAGCAGATTTTGCACAAATGTACAGTCGAGTAGATTTCCTGCTCAATATAGTGTCCTTGCGGGCGCGACAACGATGGGGCGTCAATAATTGCCTGAGAGTTCCCGAGCTAGTGTTTTCCAGTGTTTTCTTTGCTTATTCTATGCTTTTTAGGTGCTTCGTTGTTGATAAGGGATCGTTCAGACCGCGCCTGTACCCGCCCAAATACGCCCAAATACGCCCAAATACGCCCAAATACGTCCGAATACGCCCAAACCCGCCCGAACGCCGAAACCGCCAATGCGCAGCAAATTGCATGCAAATTGGCATATTGGAGCACGCGTGGAATACTGCGTGCGTGGTGCATATATGGTAGCCACACGTAGCTCGACGTTACATACCGATACATACATACCGTTTCCAAGCACGCTGATTACGAATATCGCACTCGTTGCGCACGATATAGCCTTTTCGTGGATTTCCGGAATCTTAGTTTGGCTGAAAAACGGAAAAGTTGCTTTTTTCACGCATTGTAACTCTAACAGTTAGGCATTGTTGCAGCGAACAAGCATGATATCTGCAATCAGCATGCTTAAGAACCCCTTCAGGCAAGGTTTTGAGCAAATTCGAGTCTTCATCCCCCAAACTAAGTATCGTCGAAATCCGCTACTTCATTTTTTTAGTCAACTAGTGTGGAATAGCGCCAACTGATCTCATGTAATTAGGATTCAATCGATAATTTACTTTTTTTCTCTTAAAGCTAAGTTCATTCGCTATATCGTGCGCAACGAGTGCGATATTCGTAATCAGCGTGCTTGGAAACGGTATGTATGTATCGGTATGTAACGTCGAGCTACTTGTGGCTACCATATATGCACCACGCACGCAGTATTCCACGCGTGCTCCAATATGCCAATTTGCATGCAATTTGCTGCGCATTGGCAGTTTCGGCGTTCGGGCGGGTTTGGGCGTATTCGGACGTATTTGGGCGTATTTGGACGTATTCGGGCGTATTTGGGCGTATTTGGGCGCATTTGGGCGTATTTGGGCGGGTACAGGCGCGGTCTGAACGATCCCTAAAGAAGAAAAGGGTAAGTTAGAGAGTAGTTCCTGTTTTCTGAGAAGTTTTATCATCGCATATTCACAGATTTCCACGTGAAAGCAGTTCGCGTCAGCTTCTTATCTATTTTTTTGTCACTTCATGTCTCTTTCTCCTTGTGAGGTACTTCTTTCAACGCTAGTGGGTTTTTACGATTGACTTATTGTCCTTATCACATGAAGTACTTGATTAAAATGCTATTCTTATGGATGAAAGCCGAAGTTGCTGCAAGACAAGCCAACTAGCGTTCAAAGAAACGCCTCACAAGAAGGAGGAGGTTTGAAAGAAGAAGTGACAGAAGAAAAGGAAATGACAATGAAGAAATAGACAAGAAGCTGACGCGAAATGCTTCCACGTGGATATCGCTGAAGTTGCGATGATAGAACTTCTCAGAAAACAGAAACTACTCTTTAACTTACTCTTTTCCTCTTTATCAGCAACGAATCAACTAAAAAGCATGAAATAAGCGAAGAAAACACTGGAAAGCACTAGCTCGGGAACTCGTCAGGCATTTATTGACGCCTCAGCGTTGTCGCGTCTGCAGGGACACTATATTAAGCAGGAAATCTACTCGACTGTAGCAGAGCGTCTTCAAAGTACAGGAAAATTGTATGGGCTCGTGAGAAACACTGCAAAAGATTTAGAAATTATTGATGGTCATCGTCAGTAACGATATTTGTTTTTGTCGAATGTGTGAAACTTCAGGGAGGCTTCGAAAGCAAGATTTCTAGGACAGTCGGCACATTTAAATTTTTTATCAAATTATGCATCTTTCAAAAGTGTTTTGAGCTCTTGAAATTGTTTTTTCAAGAATTTCTTTAGATTCATCTTTTTTATTCTGATTTTTACTTTTTTACAAATCTATTGTAGAGAACAAGGTATCTTCTTTTTGATCTCCTTCTGAGCTTACGGTTTTTAAACAGACTAGCTCCTCTTACGACGCCCTTCCCCGTCTTAGGGCCGCATGCACTAACCTCCCCGCGGGGAGGGGATCGCAGCTTAAAAGAAAGCTTTATATTTCAAAACTCCAGATACCTGGATTTCACGTTGTGTACCTATCCGTAAGTATTCCTACTACCCTTCACTATGAACATGTTGAACAGGAGCGAGAAGCTGTACGAACCGCATTTTCCAGCTTTTGTATGATCCCTGATGAACCCCGGCGCTTTTCTTTGAAATCATTTTTCTTTCTCCGATGTTAACGAAAAACCTCCAAAGTTGTGCAGATTATCTAAACCGACAGTGCTAAGCATGTTGCTGATAAGAACAAATGATGTTTTGAAGTCATGCAATTTTCGATGATCCACAGGTCGAAATTTGAGGTTTGCCGGAAAATTCGACTTTTTAAAAACTCATTTGTTCTCATCAGCAACATGCTTAGCAGTGTTGTGTCAGATGTTCAGTACGACTTTGGAAGGTTTTCGTTAACTTCGGAGTAAGAAAAATGACTTTAAAGAAAAGCGCGGGGGATCATCAGGGATCATACAAAAGCTGGAAAATGCGGTTCGTACAGCTTCTCGCTCCTGTTCAACATGTTCATAGTAAAGGGTAGTAGGAATACTTACGGATAGGTACACAACGTGAAATCCAGATATCTGGAGTTTCGAAATATAAAGCTTTCTTTTAAGCTGCGATCCCCTCCCCGCGGGGAGGTTAGTGCATGCGGCCCTTAGTTGCCCACTTTACCCCCCCCCCTCCCCCCCCCCCCCGTTGCGACATTAGCATCACACGCTTGACCCTGCCTTGGGAGCATTAATAAAACAACGGAAGCTCATGACCTTCAACCTTGCCATCCAAACCTACCTTCAAATATTTTGCGAAAAACACTAGTTTTGCACCTGGTAGAGTTGCTAACCTCGATATACAGGGAACATAAGTTTTTTCGCTAATGCATTTTTCGGTGAATCTTCCTGGCATTTCGAGATCGTCGCTCATTTGCAAAGCGGCCCAAAGCGTCTCGTCTGCTCCACGCACCTAAAGTACTTATGCAAGCAATTTCAGAAAAGCCATCAGCAAGCAGTCAAAGATTATCGCAAAAAATGAAGTGCTTTCATATCTTCAAAATTTATCGTACCATCCGAGTCATTAGTAGTGTCACTGACACGAGCGGCTCCAATTGCGATCCTCCGCATCCTTTGGGATCTACCGCTTTCGAGACGTGTCCTTCAATAATTTTTCCACTCCTGAGCGTGAAAAATCTCAAGAGGCCTCAGTCGCGTACAGGCGTGATCGATCAGAGAGTACGAATCGGAGGATTCAGGGACGTGGTTCAAACCAAGCAAGAACCCACTTCGACCCGTCTGAGCATCGACACTACATGCAGCAAAAAGAAGAAGTTGGAGTTGGAGATCAGAAGGTTAGATTACGCATAGTTAGGTGGACAATTTCTGCAAATGAAGCCCTTCTTAATGAAGACTTTCTTTCATCAAAGCATCGAAAAAGTAAGCCATCAAATGTTGTTGGTAAGAGCCTTATCCTATGGACTGTTTCACAAGTTTTGTCTTTACAAGCCTCACTCCTTTCAAAGCTTCCTGGGAAAAACCGGTATTACTAGAAAGATTTTATAGCAGTCGACCCTCGACAAAAACAACGGATTGTTTTTTTTTTTGAAGTGAAGGGAGTGTGAGAGGAGTAAGTGGAGGGAGAGGACAAAAAACTTTTAGTCAAAAAATGTCCAATCGTTTGTGAAACCCGCTTGAGAAGGCGTAACTTTGCGAGAAAGCATTGCAAAAAGCTTGGAAGCACCTACGCCCTTTAGCCTATCGAAAAAATGAGCACTTGTATCTGATACTTCGACTTTTTTAGGCTGAGCAGGCCTATGAATTCTACGCTAACGAAACTTTATTAAAAAAGCACGTTGAGCGAACAACAAACACTTTTCTGATAATGTATTTGGGAACTTTGCTTGTACAATTCGAGTTGATAAAGCAAAAATTATATAGGAATCTGATTTCTCCTTTGACTAAGCCGCTTTGAAACTTCGTGCCGCTTTTGGACCAATCGAAAAACTATAGTAGTATGGTATACAAACTTTTTGAACGTTTTGACGCAGACATTCTCGCTATTTTGGAGAGCTTAGTTCCCAAATTGCCAATATATAAGCCCTTTGCTTCCACCAGGTCCAGCCTCAGGCTTTCAGAATTTTCACTTTGCTTTTATTGCAGTGTCAATAACAGACGGATATAGTAAACAGCTGACAGGACAACTTATTTGAAGCCTCTCCGACTGGCTTTCCAAAATTTTGGAAGAATTTTTTGACCAACTTTCATAATCGGTCCATCTGCAATTTATTAGGTTGTAAAGAAAGTTCCGGAGCACTCCTGGATATTTCATTTAACGCATTTCTCTGGCGCTCGCTTCTACGACATATCGTTTATACTGCTCAAAAGAGAGAAGTCTAAGCTTTCCGAATCCGCTTTTGAATTTCATCAACATCATAACGTGTTTGATCTGCACATCAAAAAATGAAACCCTTGCAACCATAAAAATTTCACTATTTATCTTTCTGCTACCATTTTCCCGTGCAGTTCAAAGAAATTCGTCCAAATCATAGGTGACGTGAATGAGGGGCCCGTCAACTTCTATCCCGCAGCTGCATTCGAGTTTTGCGTTCTGCGCTCTGAAATTACGAGTCGACGAACATGCCTCTGACTGAAGTTGTTTTCGCATCTCGCATCGCTTCTGCGGGGTCGCCACACCTGCTTAAAGGTCCAAAAAACATGTAAGGCATTACTCGAACACTGTTCATGGTAATTAAAGACTTGGCCCGTCCTCTGCAATAACCCTAAGATGTCGAAGTCATTTACTCGAAGAATGGTGCATTTTCGCGGGCAAAAAATGGTCAATTTTTGGAACTTTCTGAGAACACTTTTCTTGCAGGAAATCCCCAAAACACGAATGGTCCTCATAACAGCCCCAGCAGTCTCTATATAACCACAGCATCTCGACCCTCCAGCTCTCATCCGGCAGGAGATTATCCTGCACAAACACACTTTCGCCCCGACCATTCTCCCCTTCTGCGCATGCTGGTGGACCACTATGTGGTGCTGGGAAAAGACAACAAGACCAATATATGTTGTAGACAAAATTGTGTTTGCACTGAAATTCGTAGCTCTGAAAAGGGATCAATCTGCATGAAATTACAGCGATCTGAAAGAATTTTTCGCAAGTACCCCGGAACTTTCTTTACAACATAGTATAATGATGCTAGCTGGCTTACACGGCTCTCCCGGCCCTGTCAAAACTATGAAAGAGGAGAGGAGCAAAGCTCATCCCTATCCCTGTACAACCTTTGCTTGTGTCCACTTCTACATGCAAACTCCCTATTCCCGATATGTTAGTAATCAGCATGCCCACTTACTTTGTTGTACCAACTCCCAGCCCTGTAGCTCAAACCTTGCAAGAAATCGATGAAATCGTTAAAAGTAATGGATAATTCTAAAACTAAAGCACTTTTCCGTTATCCGGACCCATTTTTTCAAAGAAAGATATTGCTTCTATCCTTGTACCATATTTTGTCCTAGCTTCACAGGGAGGAAATGTCAACATTTTGCCACGTGTCAAAAAAAATTTGACGTGCCATCTACATGTTTAGAGGTTCTACCAAGAGTCTGTATTACCATTTGATTCAACTGGCTTGGCATCGGCAAAGGCGGGGTTTCGTAACCTAATTAAGGCTAGGTCATGATCAGAGATGCTCGAGCGGCCTCAATTAGATCACAAAACCCCGCCCTGATGGTGCCAAGCCAGTTGAATCAAATGTTACCTTACCTAGCGATGTAAGTTCAATGTGTTTTTTAAGTTGTAACCTCATTTCGATCATAAAGTTTGAAAGTGAACATTTTCATAATAATAATGACATACTATCATCGATGAACAGATTAGAATTGCTCGGGATGGAGAGGTGTGCTAGGATTCCGTCATTTAAGAGGCAAAATAAGCAGCCGCAATGTACTTCATGCTATCATTCATAGTCTTTTCCTAAATTCGCATGGCGAAAAGGGTTTGAAGAGAAGTACACTTTTGATTCACTGCTGAAAGCAACGATATATTCCAGCATAAGTTCGTGATTGTTTTGCGCTCATGTAAAACAGTTTAACAGTTTTAAAATCATCACAAATTTTCTTTCATCTCACCGAATGATTTCGGAAAAAAACATGTCAGAATAAAAAGTGTACTTCTCTTCAAAGTGTACTTCTCTTCTTTACTTCCCCGATGTGCGAACCGAAAATCGATATCACCGAATGATTTCAAAAAAAAACATGTCAGAATGAACCAAAACGTGTCAATTTTTTTATGACACGTGGCAAGGAGGCAGTCCTCGTAGAACGTAGAGAGAATTTTTCTTTCACTAAAAAATGTATAATATGATAGCCTTTCGAAAAATTGGGTCCGGATAACGGGAAAGTACCTAAACTAATACTAGTATTCGTAATCAGCATGCTCGATTACCCCGATGTGCGAACTCGCAGCCACGAGTCGCTCAAACTTCGCAAAAAAAATCGATAAAATTGATAAAAGTAATGGATAATTCTAAAACTAATAATGTACTCGTAATCAGCATGCTCGATTACACCCCCTGTGCCAAACCCCAGCCCCACAGGTGAACTCTGCAAAAAAATCGATAAAAATCGATAATCGATATCGATCGATGACGAAAATAACCTATGACACTTGCCCGACCCTGAAGTGTATGTGTGCCAAGTTTGGTCCAAATCGGTTCATAAATAAAAATTTCCATTCCGCACATACCATACGTACAGACATACATACAGACATACAGACAAACACACATTCAGCTTTATATATAAGACTAGCGACCCTACGGGTCGCTAGCAAGCGGGTAGGGTACATTCATGAATAAACGTGTTTCATAGCTATAATTTTCTCAAGTGAATTTTCAATTTATCAGTTGTATTTCCACAACCGCTCAAAAGTAGCATTTTCAGAGATTTTCTCAATGGGAGGAAAGTGGATCATATCGTTTCAAAGTTTTGCTTTGCCCTAGTCATCGCTGTAAAGCTTCCTTTCGCAACGTCACTCTCGTACTCACGCTTACAATCTGGAGGGAAAAATCGAATTCACCTAGAGCAAAAGCTTCCAAAAGCGAGATTTTGAAGATTTTCTCAAAATTTAGCGGAAAAGTGGAAGCATAGTGAATACTGAGATCGGATGTGAGCGGATCAAGTGGTATGCTTCTATAACTAACTTTGCAACAATGACCAGCTCGCAATTTCAACACCCTTGGCACGCGCTTGCGTCTTTCAACACACCCATTGCAGCAGCAGAGCGTACCCTGTGTGACGTGGGCTCTCGTTCGCGCTAGGACCTCTGCGTGCTCTTGACTTCATGATAGCACCGTCGCGTCTCTACACAATAAGGCACCGTTCGGCAACTGGCGTCTATTCAAAACACCCGTTGAAGCATACATGTGGGCGGACCATCCTCGCCGTCTCGTTTTTTGGGATCGGGTTTATATTATAGGAGAAGATAGATACTATAGATATTGATAGATATATCGATATATTATAGAAATTCGGATCGGCTTACATACGCACGTAGACGATGGATATCATTTACAAATCTTTCAGTGTGAATTCTATGAAGTAAAATCGATTAATTTACAGGTGTGCCTGAAAGTGCCGGAAAATCAAACGTTTGAACTTCACCAATTATCATGAAGAGTTATCGAGGCCATTTAATACCATATCATTCAGCTGGCTTCAGCTTAGACTTACATTATGCAGCGAATCAATTCTTCGTTATAGGAATGTGGCGTACCTAGGATTTCCGTTCGGGAAGGAGGCGACAAAAAATTTCTCTGATGAAGGTGCATGGAAAAGACTAATTATTTTATGAGACTAAACTGACTTTCAAAATGTAAAAATTATTTTGATCAATCACCCCCCTTCGGCACACCACTGCTACAGGATTACGATAGAAAATTTGGAAAGGGATTTTAGTGGTGGAGGGCC